CACACAAACAATATCTAATCTTGCTGCATTTAACTTCCATTTTCCACATTTTGACTTTGGTGTATTACAATTTATTATAAAAGAAGCAGTCAACTGTATTCAAGGCATATTTAGATACAGATGTTGCTTTATAGAGTGCTGCATAGTGCATAGGCCTAAATTATATGTCTATTAGTAATAACACCGTGAGATTCAAGTATTAGTAGAATTCTTATTGCTACATAGGAAACCTATATCTATTTTCATAATTAGGTCTACTATTTTCTTGACTTTTTACCCTCTCACAAAATAATTCTATAATGCGCAAATAATAAAAATTAAGATGAAAAATAAAAAATCCTCTCTCAATTGGAAGACAAGTAATATACTTCACAAAGGCATATAAATATGTTTAATTTCTTCAACTTTTGGCAACAATGTGGTTTGGAAAAGGTCTTCTAACTTCTAAGCTTGATCTTACTTTAAATTTTACATGATTTAATGGGGCACCCATACATATTAAATTAGAAAAAATAATTTAAAAGTCATAATTTACATAAAAGCTGCATATACACTGCAATTTAAACAATTTTTTAAATGTTGTTTTTCTTTACATTCTGCATTCTGTCGGGAGTTTCTACGCAAACTGTTGCTAAGCATAAACATGACAAAAAACCCATATCTGGAGTGTTTCTGTTTTTAATGCTGGCAGAAATTTATTCTTTTTTTACAGTGTTAATGCTAGCTCTCGAAACCCCAGTGAATAATCCTTCCGGGTTTTGGTCATCTGACCCCATTTGCTTCCCTGCGTATGCACGCAACTCACAAAAAAAAGACTTATTAAAGATAAACTTTAGTACTGGTAATGTGATTGCATTGTGAAAGAAAAGGTGTGGAAAGGATCAGAAACAGTTGATCATGTAGCATGTAAGTATTGGTGTGCACTGCAAGGTTCTGGACTCATCAAAATCATAATAAATTTGACCGAGTCTTGGTAAAGTAACAAGCACTCACATATAAAGCTATATATGGGACAACACACATGGTGTCGGGCTAGTACTACCTTGATTTCCTTGTCTTTCTATGCTCATTACTCAGCCAGTATACATTTTCTTCCAAAATTGTTTGGCACATGTCATTTATTTGTAATCTTGAACATTCAGTGTAAGTTTCGTTTGATTCTGTGAGAATTAATTATTTTTTTTTACCGGTACTGGAGTTTATCTTTAAACACTGATGGTTTCTCATGGGTTTTTCCAGCAGTGTAAATGGCAGTAAAAAAAACAGATTTTGATAATGGTTTTAGGGCTATGTAAACAGGCCTAATGAATGCAGCAGACAGTGCTCCACCCCTACTAATGCTTCATTTATGGATTCATTCTGTATGAGTAGTGTGGATGTTTCATTTTTGCATGACTCTATCAAATTAAATTAAACTGAAATATACGCCTTTAACATTTATCTCTGACTTCTAATTGTGACAAAAAACCTCTCCCTAGGCTAGAGACATTTCAGAGAGACAGAGGAGTCAGAGAGTCAGACTTGTTCTTGTCTGCCAAAGATATAAATTGAATCCAGAGACTAATTAGAAACAAAATATTTAGACAGATGCCTGCCCATCCCTGGGTCTGTGTTGAAGGCTAAGTGTAAACAATGCATCCAGTAATGGCAGTGTGTGAACCTGGTTTACACTGAATCCAAAATGAGCAGAGATAACCCGAACGCAGCGTTTCGTGAAAGGAGACAAAGCGTAGTCAAGAACAGACATAAATATGTACCCCAATATGATTATGAGGTTTGTAGTAAAACAATTTTTACACAATATGATGAATGCCATTTGGTAACAGTTATAAAAATCAATTAGTTGAACACATGGTGAAGACATTAAATTCAAATCTACTTGAACCTAAAACAAAAATTGGATTGGATTTTGGCAAAAAAACAAACAAACAAAAACCAATAAACCAGCAAACAAGCAAAAGAGAGAGAATAAAATTGCCCATACCTAGTGATTTCAAATGACCTTTTCACTGTATTTTCCAGTTTCTCACTGCGTAATTATGAAGATCTAAAATGAAGTTAAAAAAGATAGCTCCTAAAGGCATTGTGACAATAATTTTAGCCATTTGTCTCTTTGTAAACAGCCTTTATGATTCTTGAGAGTAAAATGTGTAGGTCCGGTATAAATATAGGGAGTGGGAACTCACCCTGCCGTGGCTGAAACAAACAGATACACAGCAGGGTGACTGACCCAAGGATATAAACTTGACTGGGGCTTTGTTTACACGGAGGATCAGATGAAAAATGAGATCATCAATTCACAGTTACTGCAGGGGTATACATTAGCAACAGACATTTGCTTACTTTCTAGCCCAGTCAAAAATAGACTGTAGTCTAGCACCCCACGCCTTACCTCCCTTTCTCTCTTTGCCACTTCAAAAATGTAGCCTGTAGCCTACATTACGAATGTCGGTGTATGGCTGACATCTGTGGTTCTTTTGGACATTTACTGACATTTACACAAAGATTTTGTTTGTGATGTGAGCAAAAAGGGTATTTAACTTCCGTCTGGCTCTAGTCTTGGTAAATGATTTACCGGTATTGCAAATGAATAGAATAATTGAAGTGAAAATCTGATAGATAAAGATGGATATTTCAAATACTAAGGCTAAGGTTAAGGCTCCCAATTGAGGATTTCAATGTTTTCTGCTCTTATATCACAAGGATTTTAGAATAAAAACAAGGAACACGACCGACATTTGAAAATGGTTTCTGTGAATGTAAAGTCAAAATTCCTTCATCCTTCTCTTAATTCTTTTGACATTGAGCGGTAAATTATCATAAATTTGATGGAAATCATGCTGAAAATATGTTCACAGTTCCACCCGCAACCACAAATCCCCAGACAGGTACTCCAGGAAAAGAGTTGTAATCATAATTTGAACCTTTCAAAACATTGCTCTGTTTAAACCCAACATTTCCAATCAAACTGTAATCTAGACAATCTGAACCACATGTGTTAGTTCTTGGTTTTATTGCAGAGAGGCGAACTCCAGCAAATGGCTAGGTGTTGAGATATAAGAAGCTCACAGTCACAGGTGAGTTAAAACTTTCCTCTACCTCTGATACTGCAATCTATCACCCCCTTACCCTCCCCTTACCGATACCAGTATGTACATTCCTGATCGCTTTTATTTGGGCTTTCAACTACTTGCAAAATACACCATCGAAGAAGAAAAAAAGGGAGTTATTTCAAGGAAATCTGTATCAGAATTATGGAGGATATGTTATGAAATACAGCAAACCAATATAAATTAAGTCAAGAATATCTGGATCAACATATGTATGGCAAATTATAGATCAGTTCTGGTCATGTGATTGCATTGTGAAAGAAACATTGTGGAATCAATCAGAAAGACATTTTCAAGCCCCCCTTATTTTAGGGAAGTTCTTAATTAGTATTATCTTTCAAATGCCGTTGGGCCTGCAAAAAGTACCCTGTAATTTCAAGTCAGTAGTTTTCTCTGTTACAAAAAATACCTGCATACAATACATGAGCAAGTGACTGCAAAAGAATATATAAACAGAGAATTATTTGTGCTTTGAAAAGCTCAATGGGAACCCTGGAAAGTCACAAACAGCTCTAGTGAAAACCAATAAAACACATTTAAAATCCCTGCCAGGCAATCCCAATTTATAATGGCAAATCCCAAATGAGCTCCCTTTAACAAAAAATATATATTGACAATGCACTACAAGCAACCTCCCAGAATACATTCATAGTTCCCAGCAATTTTTTCCTCCTATTTTTGCCCGGAGAGCCAGCAGGATGAAAGAAAACAACAAGTACAGTATAAGGTGTTTTGATTGGGGCTTAGAACCAGTCTCCCCCATTCCCCTTTGTACACAGATACAGTTACAGTTTCTCTTGCCTCAGCCCGGGAGTAGTTCTTAGGCTGCGTTCATAGGTTTTTTTTAAGCTAGAACCATGAACATTGGGCACAGGATCAGGTTCTACAAATATAGACCAATCATTCAATGAGAGTTGTAACATCATTTAAACATGTTTGAAAAACAGAACTGCTCTCATAATTTTGGAAAAATGAATTTAAAAACACATCTTTTCCTGTGACCTCATGTATATAATTCTACAACTGACGAACCCCATGAATCACAAGAATAAAACTACCCGGTATGTATCAAATGGAATGTTTTTCAAAAGCCTATTTCTGGGCGGAGAACAAAATCTGAACGCAGCCCTCTATTGGAGCCTTTTGGGTCAGAGTTCCTCTTTGAATGTACAAAGAATATCCCCAGTGCTCCATTTAATTCCTTGTAAAATTTGTCAATAGGATTAGCCTGCAAGATGTAGGTTATAGAACACTCTGAAGAATACAGCTTTCAAGTACTTCCAGAAATCTGTTTGCATTCTATATCAATGTGTGTACCCTTAGCAAGAATGTGTTAGATTCTTGAGTTTTAGTTTACCATGTTTGGGTCATGAAGTGAAATAACTTTCCGTTTGTTTGAGGTGAAGATTGACAAAAGCAGAGAAAATGCAAATAGGGAAACTGTTTAATTGCATTCTTTCAGCAGTTGGAATGTTCTGCAACAAACAACTTAATTTTGTGATGGAAATGATTATTTTAGCAGAGAGGAAATAATGGTATAACACATCCATTTAATGGAAATCTAAACACAATTTCGTCATTTCAACTACCGGTATTCAATTCCACTTTTATATCAATTATAGAGGAATCAAGTTGCTCTATTACTTACATGTATGTTTCGCTACAGGTTTCATACGTGAACAAAATGATAAGGCCTACATTCAAACATGTATGCGACTGTCACATAACAACTCTGCATACAAACAGGCAATTTTAGTTTTAAAGAATACGGGGGTCTTACCAGTCTTGACCAGTAGTGTACCCTAACCCCTGTTAGGTTATGCACTGTCCATCAGCAGTGCCAGGGAAGTGTTTAAATTCTTAAAATTAATTTCAATGATCTTTACTTACTTGCATTCAGAGTGATCGATCCCTGCACCGACTTGGTCCCGTTATCATTCGCAGCTATGCACTTGTACGATCCCGTATCCAGCGTACCAACATTATTAATCGTTAGCGTTGATCCGCCCTTAAACTCCCTGACAACGTTCCTCCCGATGTCGTCCCTGATGATGGCATCGTTCCGATACCACCAGTAAGTGGGTTTGGGATACCCTCGTATCCTGCAGTTGAGAGTGACAGAATCTCCCGGTATCACCGTCTCGTTGTTCATGGGCGCATCGATGGCGATATATGGGGTACCAGGAGGGGGCGTGGTACTGAAAGATACAATAATATCAAAACTTGATTACTTGCCAAAGAAATAATGATAACAATAATTCAAAATATATATATATATATATATTTTTCTTTTTTTATTATACAAATGTTCAAATATATTGCTGCATTCTATATAACTGAAGTAAGAATAAAATGCTGTATTCTTCCTATAGCCAAGATACCAATACTCAGTCTTTTATCTTTACCTTGGGAGATAGAGATGAGAACATAATCACTTATACGTATAAGGGGAAATGGGCAACACATAATTTGGAATCTCTTTGATAACAATTCACATATAAGAATTAATACAAAATGATAACTGTAATACCTAAACTTTTATGAACAAGCAGTTTTTGTCACGAAACTTAAAAGTTTAACTGTAGAAGATCATTTGTTTGGAGATAGTGGGCTCACGAGCATCCCAAATGACTAGATAGAATTACAGATTACGATGCTTGATACAATAAAACATGTCTTCATGTTATTCTGGAAACATAAATAACCCTTCATTTGTCTGACTGCGGCCAGAGCCATGAGGTTTCATAGACTCTGCAAGAGGCCTCATCTAAAAATCATTTATGATTCTCTAGTGTCTGATTTCATAATGGAAGCTACATTCAGGTTCAGACGGTACCATCGTAGTTATAAACTTTGAGTTTCCGAAACCTCAAAGTCATAAACAATGATTCACTAACCACGACGAGGGTTCACACAGGACTGAAACAACAAGTATTCAAAGTTAACTACAAGCTAGGGAAAGCATTCATTTCAACTAAAAGCTGCCAATATAACGTCAAAGTTAACTGTGTCCACACGGCACATAACTTTAAGTAAGGACCCCCCCCCCCTCCTCCTTGCTTCAGGTAGTTATCTCTCTGTCGTGGTTATAAACGTCAAGTTAACTTTAAATATGACGAGTGCGTCTACACGGTCCCTAACTATGAGATGACTTTGAAGTTTACAACCACAACTTTAACTTCATATTGACGGTCTGTCGTGTGAACCTGACTTATGATGAATAAATGAGTATGTCAGTATGATGCTCCTCAGTGTATTTAAACAAAATGGTCTGTCATGTGAACCTGACATATGATGAATAAATGAGTATGTCAGTATGATGTTCCTCAGTGGAATTAAACAGAATGGGAATGATAAGAGATGTCTGATCTACATTAGCGAGGCCACCCAAGTTAGATAAAGACCAAACAACAAACATAAATTTCATTGACAAGAAATGTTTCATTGGAGAGTTTTTTTAAATAGGCAACTGCACAAAATGCTAATGTGCACTCTCTCTTTCTCTCTCTCTCTCTTCCTCCCTCAAATGGCCGGGTGATCAACAAGGGTGACTGGCAGTACAAAAGAGTATTAGTATTCTTAATTCTGAAGAGTATGCAGACATACAATCAAATTCAAAATCTAGGTCAAACGCAGATATACATCACAGTCACCTAAATTCATACCAGTAACCATATTTATAGAGCTAAAGCATAGGCTAAATCCTAATGTAATGCTAATTCCTGAGCTTAATAGGCTTTTCACATTTTCACATTTGACCATTCCCCCAGAACCACGCTGGTCATTTAATTATGGACGATGCACAAGTGATAATTTCTAAATCAGATTTTCCTCTCCATCTCCATCCTCCACCTTCCCCCCTCCCTGGGCCTCTGGGGCGCAACGGCAGCTACAATAGGGTCTCGGTGGACACCCTTTGTCCCTGAGACACACTCACACCATGGCTATAACGCCAACTACATGAAAAATGATATCCAAGAGTAAATGTCGGTAGGGCGATTGGGACAGTGGGGTGAATATGAAGCGTGGAGCGGTCTATAAGCGGTAAATAGCGATGGCCGCTATCGTGGCAAAACGCCCAGAGGGGCCCAGTTCCAGATTCTATGAAGGAAGTTTGGGATTTTGCAAACCTGCAGGATAAGTAAAGATAAGATTCCAGCTTTGGCTTGGCCGAAATGGTCTATCGATTTCATCCATTGCAGAGGATTTCCTTCTATATACCTCGCTTTTTATTTCATTTTCTTCGGTAAAATCCAGGAGTTACATCCATATTCATTAGATTGGGGGCTGGAGGCTAAAACCAATAACCTTTAACTTCACTGCAGGTTTTCTCTCTGAAGCTGTGTATTGAAGTACACATGGACATATTACGGATGAAAATAATTCTTGCATGCACCATACTAGCCCCATACTAGCCCATGGGAAACAGTAACCTTGTGCATAATATTTGAGGCCCATGGTGTATAGATGAATCTACGACAGTCTTCTTCATCATTTGTAATACTGTGATTAAAAGGAGAACATGGGAATAATTCCATTAATCACAAAGTATTTCAGGGCTGTACATATCAAACAACAGTGGTAAAAATAATGATATTTTAATCTCTATTATCATGCTAACACCAGCTCACCAAGTGAACAGCCTCTCTCATCATTGGAGTTTTAATCATGTTTTTTAGCAATTTTATCATAAAATTAAGCATTAACTGTTTAATTTCTACTCTGAGATGAAAATAAGATTCCATAAATCATCAAATCATAATGAAAGAGTGGCATAGTTCCATTAACCTACTAACTACTAAATTATCTTACTCCCAGAGGCTTGATACATAGGAACAAAATGGTTCCAGTAGCCAATTGATTATTTTTTTTTCTTAATCCACAAGTTACTATTACAAGTTTTGTATGTTATATTTCAAATTACCCTTCAAAGTTTAATCAATTTTTTTTTTAAATATACACCATGTCTACATTACTGTGTTTAATACGTACAGTACTACATATGTAGTAGTGTAGAAGTTCAACCAATTTGTCATACTACACCGGATAGGAGAAAAATGCAGGGACAATGACGTCACGGCAAATAATTTAATTAGGAATTTGATCATATACAAAATGATTATTTACAAAGATGTTCACCCAAAAAACAAACAAAAAGTTTATTATCTTTCCTACATAAATTATTCAATATTATGTGCATTCTCTCACTTTCAAATCAGTCCCTCAAGTAAAGCAAAAGTAAGAAATCTTTCATTTTCTAGTTGTGAAAATTTGCCAGACAATTATCATATAATCTCCTGCTATCACCTCGTGTCTTTAAAAAGAGAAATATTGTGCCATGGTACCAACATCAAATTAGTATCACAACAAAAACTTGAACAGGGTAGAAGGAGAGAAGAAGGAGATAAAGGCAGAGATAGAGAAAAGGGGATAAGAAAGATAACGATAATATAGCGCCAAATCCACTCAGTGGAGTGCTAAAGGCGCATGATACAGAGACATGATCTCAGATACAGAGACAGACAGACAGATGAACATGCCAGAATCTAATCTATCTCTATGAATCTGTCTCCTCATTTCAACCTCTTTACTTCAGATAAATGACAGGGATATCAGATCTTTGTGAGCAAGCAGAGATGGAAGATCTCGCATGGCACATTTTCACTTCCAAATCTCAATCAAAGCTTAGATCTAACATATTACCTGTGCTTGCATACAGTTCACTGTCTTCTACAAAATGGTGATGGCATAAATTATCTTATCCCAAGGAGATACTCTTAAAATATGACCAGGGATTAGCTTTGTAGCCTGTAAGATCTCTTTTGGGCTACTAAATATCCATGAGTAATTTGCTTTAATATTTATAAATAATGCAAGTACCGGTAATTTCACTTCAATTTCTAAACATGATTTACATGAGTAGAAGCTGTGGTGTGTGCACTGGATAGAAAGCCTATCCAAGATTATTGTTACCTCTTTATTCATTGTTGTATAACAAATATTATCAAACTGGATTTTACTGAGAATGTTCAACTAACTTCCACTATGATATTTTTAGATAGCCATTCAGAAAGAGAGCAAAATTTGACTCTTATTCTGAAATTGGACTGATATATTATCCTCAATTACTTACCTATCTGAAAGCACATGAGGATAGAATGTGTGGACTAGTAAGAGATGGGCAATAATCCATCGATAGATTCCTGTAATCTCCATGGTAGAGTCCAGTCAGTTCAACAGTTTGACAGGCTCAACAGATTTTCATTTACATCAACCCCACAAACAATGCTAGCTCGGATGCTGAAACGTGTATGTCCGGCAACCTCCAGACGTCCAACTGAAGACTTGCAAGTAAAAGTGCTTTCCTCTCCGTCAGTCTGAGGACTGGGTTATTCAAAATGAAGATGTCTGGCTGAGGGTAGATGGAGATGTCAAACTCGGACAAGATTCAAAGTCTTGACATTCGGCTTGAGCAGCCAGGTGGCCAGTTAGGATAATTTTTCCTTCAAATACAATAGAGCAAACACGAGATGCGGTTACTGCACTTAGAAGAGGGTTTAGACTCTCTCTTTTTCCAGACAAGACCAGCTGCCCCTGACAGCGACATTTGACAGAATTCAAGATGAAAAGTTCCCCACAAAGGGCAGGATGGGAGCAGGAAAGTTCATTCCAATAAACATAAACTTATTTTCCAAAGTTCCAGAATAGCATCATGTCCGACTCTAAAGAGGCCTACATGAAGCGAATGTAGTTCCTGCAAACTGATATGAAATGTAAGATTGTTTATAACTGTCAGGTCCAATTTGAATCAGTTTTGTCCTTTGTAATCACAATATGAAGAAATGTTGCCTGATGTCACAATCTCACATTAGATCACACAGCTCATCATCATCACTATCATCTGCAGTACGGAAGACACAGTCGCAAGATGCGGTCGTTTTTCACCGGCGGCTTGATTCAAAGTGACACGTCTCTTGATAAACCCAGGTTTGACTGACAGATAGATTCAGCATAACTCCACAGCAGAAAGTATTCCATGGATGTCATTTGTGAGGGAGATAACTGGCATTGAGGCCCATCAACAATGTATATATGTTCTACCACGACTCAACACAGATAACAGGTAATATTCTATCAATTTGTCACAAGAAGACGATAAGAGACTGCCCTGTCCACTCTCTGCAGTACACTCTCTAATAACTAACTGACTGCAGAGACGATGTACCTACGCTGTATAAAGGTTGGTGATACAGTACACTGTTCCTGCAACGCTCCTTAGGCTAATACCATTGCAGCATCTTTTGTTTGGAGACCGGGTCTTAAAAGGAACTCATGACAATTCAATCAACGAATAGAGCCTTGAGTTGAAAGTACAGCAATAAAGAAAGAGATAGAAAGAGAGAAAGAGAGAGCTAGAGAGAGCAAGGGAGAGAAAGCAGGGGTTATAAAAATGTTTTGTCTCGTCACAAAGTTGAGAAAAGTGATTCAGGAAATTTGAGTGAAGATGTTATCAAGCTATTCAAGTGCCTGTCCGTAGCTATTCAGCTCTAGTGGTTCCTCAATAGAGGAGCATTCCAGATGGCTTACAATTCGGCTGCACAAACAAGGATCCAGTCTTTTACATTTCTCATAAAAGCTTTGTAGCTTGGTAACCGAGAGATGAACGTATGCTCTTTGTGATCACATTCATGAAGAATTAAAACCTCTTGTGTTAGTGGGCTTTTAGTAAAACCCTGCTACAAAACCCAGAAGGAAAAAGATTGGACACGATTCGATCCAGAGAAAATGTATCCAATACCGACCGCGGCAAGTTTGTGTGTAACTACATATCCAAGCACTGGAGGAAGACAATGAGAGTTTCTCAAACAGGGTCCTTCCTTCCCTCCTCTCCAGACAGGGTGTAAACAGTCACTTAGTTTACAAAGCACAGGTGAAAAACACTTGAAGAAGAGGATCAAAGCTGCGGCATAATCAATGCATAAAAGATAGCTTTACCCCTTGTAAGGAGCATCTAGGCTAAAGCGAAGCTGAGTGCTTCAAGCCCCTTTCAGGACGGCTTAGCGCTGGGTTTCCACCCCTGCGAGTCTAATGACCTCTGAGGGTTTGGCACACAAATGTGCTGGGAGCGGTAGAGGGTTGGGCTTGGAGTAGAAGAAAAGAGAGATTAGAACACTGGCGAGAGAGAAAGGAGGGCAACTCGCTCAAAGGAACCGCCCACTACTAAAACAGACAGCCAACTTCCACCATGTTGTTTCCATCATCTCAAAGAAAAATTAGAAAAAGAATGCTGGGAGGAAAAACACTTCTTATCCTTCAGCACATTTCCAAGGCTGGCTTGCGATACTTTCATTCCATGTTTAAAATTATTGAGTGAATTGGTTAGATTCTTCCTGATGAAAACATAGTTTGCCCGCCCGCTCTATGCTGCTGTCTAGACATGCTAAAAGCAAGCCATCATTCTACAACTAGTGTGGGATAAGTTGATGAAATCATACAAAAGTAATGTAATGGATCCAGCACAGTACCATCATTAGGCTAGGCCCAACCCTCAACAATGGGGCGGACTCCAAAGTTAGCCCATCAAAAAAGAGAAGGGCTTCGCTGACTAATTAGATGGGGTAAAGAGCCGCCAATGGAAGTCCCTTCCGGCAATGCCACTCATAATAGATATTATGACGGATGGAATTGACGCCTCCAGAAGAAAAATGAGATAAACAAATGCCTGGACTCCAACCCGAGCGGGATGGCATCCCACACAGGAGACTGACACTCTGATTATTGTTACTAGAAGGATGTTGAACTTACTCCAAAGCACCCAAAATCGGAAAACATCTAATGCATCATGGGTTTTGTTTCATACATACCCCCTCCCCCCTTAAAAATAAAGATTTGTACCATATGAAAACTTTCTCAACTCACTGTCATTGCGAGACAGTCAAGTCCATGTTTTTCATTCACATTCTCATGAACAACCAGTAAACAATTTGGAAAGATTGAATATTAAGGGTGGATCAAATGTAATAACATATTGAGAAATTATAAAATCATACAGCAAGTTTTAGAATACTAATCAATGAAAGATGATGCAAACTATATTAAAGCCTTGGTATATATGCTACTGAAAGACATAACTGGTTTATGGTAAAAACTTTTGAAAGTGTGAGAGCACATGTATGTCAGCAAGCCAGACCACACTGGCACAGAAAGATAGGGAGGAATAGGAGGAGGGGGAGGGATGGAGGAGGGTGGAGGGATGGAGGAGAGGTGAATCTGGCCTTAGAACCACTGACCGTGCAAACTGAAGTTTCTTTAACATTGACCTAGGGGTGTGGAAGGGGTGATTGAGCAGGGGCTATAACCTTACCCCCACTCTGTTGTCATTACTCCGGTAGAGGATTCCTCATCCATCCTGGGACTAGGCTAATCATTGAACAACCAAACAGGTTGATGTCCCAAGGGGGAACCGCTCTGCATTTTTGTCTGAAAATCTATCTTCATGTTGATCTTAATGAAGCAGATGATATTTCATAAAGCAATAAATCAAGCCTGCATGGGTCAGTTATCACAATATCTCACAACTAACTTTGAAATATGGTATATCTTGGTATAATATAGTCTGTCTTCATACTAAATCATGAATCTGTCAATAGAATATATTTTAAATTCATCTATCTTTATTGCAGGTCCGAATATACTTGTAGGCTATGCCATTTCAATAACTCACATGTAGATCGAGTGATGGAGTGAGGGTTTTCTTCATTCATGACACTTTGAACTGGACTTGATTGTAAAAGCCAGTATGATACGCTATCATGTACGACCGGAATCATAAGAATAATAAAATTGATCATTTGGGGCTATATGAGATGATATTGCCCAAGTATGCAATAGTAAGATGAGCATAATCCAGGAATCTCATATGCCTCTAAAAGCCAGTCAATATCAATATGTCAAGATATAATATGACATTGTCATCATCATCTGGATTTGACTGATGGTTAGTGTAGAGTGTTTACAATGTTCACACACCATGACAACAGAGTAGACAAGAAGACTGGACCACAGCTGTCATGTGACAGCACAAGATGCCGTGATTGGGTGTTCCCAGACGGTGAGATCCATGACAAGGATGGCTACATGACATGAGCATTTTGGTGTCGGGCAAAGAGATAAATGGAAGACAAAGGATGCCATCGGATCGATGTCTCATTAATATTCTGAATGTGCAGTTTTATTAACTGCATAATGTTTCTTTTCAGTCTGATCTCATGATAAAACTTCTTTCGAAAGCAATGAAGTTGATAATCAATATTCAAGTACCAAGAGAAATTACAATGATATTTCTTTACAGAAACTTTTACTGGTTCATTATAGAGAAATTGGTTAGGAAATAAATAATAGGACAACAATAAGGTATTTCAACACGTTCATGTTCCTCTAATACTTGTATAAATTGTTAGATATATCAATTTTTCTCGATTTTTAAATATTTTTAATAAAGGTAATATTAATTCATTCAAAATATTTGATAAAACATCATCAAACCATAGTCGGTTTTGATCTCAAAATTTGTGGTTCTAACTATATGAATTTTTTTCTCAATGTCTATGGCTTCAATCTCACAAAAACACAATATTAAGAAAAGAAATAATGATTCATTAGATTATTAACTCTGTTTGTACTATGGTATAAGAGCTAAAGCCCTTTTGGCTCCAAACAGACAATATTTTAATCAGATTAAACCATATTTTTGCTCATCTTCCTTCAATCTGCTAATGGCTACCTCCTTTAAAGAGGCGTCTTTAACAATGAGAGACAAATGACAGGAATAGAGAGAAATGAATAAGGAGGACATCTAGGAAGAAAACCATGCGAGGACGGACAAATAACCCATCTTCAATCATGCATGTCGTATAATGAACTCTCTTTCCCCTATCGCCTTGGGCTCCCCGGTTTAGATTTCACATTCTCATACCTCTTAACATTCAGGCATGCTGATTTCTTGCTCAAGTTCACTCAAGAAAGCACCTTAAAGGTACTATGAAACATTTTTTGAGAGGAAATGAGAGGAGTTGAATCATAGATGGGTATGAATCTCTTATTAAATATATGACAAATGTAATGGAAAGCTTTCATGGTAGAAATATAGTTTCCCGCATATTTTTTATTGATTTAGAAAATTTGCCAAGTAAATGAAGATGAAGTAGGATAACATAGTATAGTGGAGCTTCTAAACCATTGCTTTTTATTTGGAGGGGGTTGCAAAAATAATTCAGTCTTGTTGTTTTGTTTACCTTACTGCCAATATTACTTTAGGAATAATTCGTTACATTCATTTAATTTTTAATATAAGTGGAATAGATAATAAATCTAAACCATGTACATGTACAACTAGTAATGTTCTCTATCTCATAGTACGCAGAGCTCCCTGAATATAAAATGTAGCAAGTTGGTATGATAATGTGACCCACATAATGTATGTTAAACATTCTTCATGAAACGCAATACAAAACCTGACAGATGCAAAGGCAGGTGCAGTGTGAACACTGTATTGGATCTGGTTTATAATCAACAAAGTGTGCAGAGTGACATGGTACACATTCTAAACTGAGTCTGAAGCAATGGACAGGCTGCAGGGGGGGACTCCTGAGGGAGCGCAAAAAACCCTTCTATAGAGGGGGGGGGGGGGGGGACGACTCCCACGGCATACACGGATATCATTTTGCAGCACCCACTGTATTTTCTGGTTAACATGAGACAAGGTGTGTGTAGGGACATGGTAAAACATATTCACAAGTATCAACCTTGAAACTTGAAAAAGAACCTGATACAGTAAAGGATCCTGTGGGGATAGGAGGTGTGCCAGGCAACCCTCATTTTCAAGGGAGAGGGGCAACTCTCCCTGCATGCAGGCACAACATTTGCAGTGCTAGCACCCCCTTTTTTCTGGAACCACTAGTGTAGAGGGGCATGATACAAGATCTCCACTTTTAAACTCTATGAGAACAGAATGCAGATGGGTGAATACAGGGCTCCAAAGTGAGGGCCGCACTGGACACAGGAGGTGCTCATGTAACCCTTATTTATGTCCTGGTTTTGCAGGTAACCCTTCTAGTCCAAAATCTAGGAAGGGACTGGAGATAGGCAAACACTAGAAGGACATGGTGGAAATATCATCAGTTTGGAGCCAAAAGGTCTCATACACATACTGTACAGATTTTACATCCTTATGGCTCCAAATCAACAGACACTATACAGTACTTGGCTGGATGTACGGATGAGATCCTCAAGTATGCATTGATCAGCACCACCACCGGTCAGTTAATAAGGAGAAGCGGTCGTTGCCCCGGCCAGCCTGCTGCTTGAGAGTCCGGTTAACGATTTGACACGTCCATCTCCCACCATTACGCATCCCAATTACCACCACCATCAACCCCCGTGCGACAGCCCAATAATTGGGTCATGAACGGCACAATCTACCCCCTACGGCCGATTGTCAAATATGATCATCGACTCAACGGAGCGCACAGCTTCATCTCCAGATGATGGACTGTAGCTAACTCAAAGACATCACACACCTACAACCTTGTCTGCATGTCTTCAATTTAATTTATCACAGGGTGACACTAAAATAAAACTGTTCCATTCCTTGTCATAGTTTGGAACTGATTATTTAGACTCACATTTTACTTTTCCCCATCCCTGCTTATTTACAACTCTACAATATTTTCTCTGTGCACTTTCCATCTAATATATATCACATCAACATATTGTGTGTTTGGAGTAGGAACAGCATTAACTTTGGGTAATAGTATATGAGTTAATGCCCTTCTGGCTCCAATCAGATGATATTGTCTATAAGGAATCAGAAATGAAATACTTTGACACAGAGATAACGCCTTTCAGGCTCTGAGTAGAGTATCTATCTTTGAAGTGATTTATAATCTCTGCTTTAATTTATCCGTAAAGAATATTTGTAGGGAATCAGTTATTCTACCTTCATTAACTATTTAAGTCTGTTAGTATTCAAAGCACAAATATCAATTTCATAAATGAAGTATGTGCTATAAGAAATAGTTCTACTGTATGCCATTCTGTTATATGTCTGGTTCTGTTCTACTTAGTATATATATATATATATATATTTACTTTATTATTTTATTTTCACCCTCACCCTTCTCTTCTCCTCTCCTCTCCTCTCCTCTCCTCTCCTCTCCTCTCCTCTCCTCTCCTCTCCTCTCCTCTCCTCTCCTCTCCTCTCCTCTCCTCTCCTCTCCTCTTCTCTTCTCTTCTCTTCTCTTCTCTTCTCTTCTCTTCTCTTCTCTTCTCTTCTCTTCTCTTCTCTTCTCTTCTCTTCTCTTCTCTTCTCTTCTCTTCTCTTCTCTTCTCTTCTCTTCTCTTCTCTTCTCTTCTCTTCTTGTCTAGTGACATCATCAAACATTAGATGGTCCTTTATATTCATGAATTGCATCCTTTACTGAACAACCTACATGGTTCAATAATTGCATTTAAGGCTAGTTACAAAGAGAG